TTGAACAAGACATTAGAAACAAACAAATTGCAGATAGGTTCTAGAAGGCCATCTTTCGTTCGTCATTATCCGGGATAATCAATATAAATTTGCTGGCCAAAGAAGCAGGACAACAGTTGAAGTGAAAGAGGAAATTGCAGAAAATTGTTTGCTGGCGTAATAACTTGATCTTGTTACTATTTTGTTTTTAGTTCTAGTCGGATACGAAACGGAGAGAAAAAAAGCCACACAGCGCAATTAGATAAACATTTAATTTCAAATATTTTGAAACAAGTTTGTATGTGTGGCTGTACATTAATTTTAAATAGTTTTGTAGTCTACGTAGTACATTCGGTGAATGTCACGAATTCAATTTTTCTCCTACAACAATTGACATCGCCAGCTTGAGCTTTTGCAGTTTTAGCTTTCCATTACTGATAATAATTCAAGTCTTAACATAACGCAAAAGATATGGACCGTTGATTAGCATCCATTATAATGGAATTTAATTCTGATAAAGAGCGACTCTTTGCTCCACTGTAAAAACATTGAAATTACAGATGTTTCTATATTTGCCTTTAATTGCTATTTCATAACAGAGGCACCCAAAGGTTCTCGGGAAAAATCATTTTTTTGACCCAACAGAAAATTTTTTTATGCGATTGTCAGTTAGGAAGCAAGGAAACGCCGAAGACAGAATTATGTCCACAACAAATTTCAGTAGCGGTGGAAGTCACACGAAATCATTTCAAGAACTGCTATGCTCTCCCTCTTTGGTGGGTGGGCTTCAACAACAACTATCAATTTTCTTCGTAGCGGTTGACATTTTCCTCTCCATTACGGCATTTGCTGGGAATTATCTCATCCTCGTTGCCCTTTCCAAAGAATCTTCCCTACATCCGCCGTCCAAACTCCTGTATCGTTGTCTGGCAACCACTGATCTGTTGGTTGGTCTTGTTGCCCAGCCTCTCAATGCCCTATATTGGATGTCCGTGGTTCAAGAACACTGGAGCCTTTGTCAATATGCATTTGATGCAGCCAACATCACAGCCTATGTATTGCTTTTAGTGACTCTGATGACGATGACGGCCATAAGTGTGGACAGACTTCTCGCCCTGATGTTGGGACTGAGATACAAACAAATTGTAACTTTGAAGCGCACGTATATTATTTTAACTACCTTCTGGGTTTTTAACCTTGTCGCCTCTTTAAGTGGATTTTTTCATCACCCTATAATCTTTCTGTACAGCTCCTTAGTTGTATCATTTTGCCTGGTAATATCACTCGCATCGTACGCAAAGATTTTTTGCATTCTCAGATATCATCAAGCGCAAGTGCGAGATAAACAGCCGGCGAGCCAAACAAATACACTGAACATGGCGCGATTCAGAAAGGCAGTAGACAGTGCACTGTGGGTGCAGTTAGCATTAGTTGTTTGTTATGCACCAATATGGACAGTGTCAATTGTGATCGCTCTTACTAAAAAATACTCATTACTCTTATTCGTCACACAGAAAGTAACAGTTATTTTACTTTACTTTAACTCGACCTTAAACCCGTTCCTATACTGCTGGAAGATTAGTGAAGTGAGACAAGCAGTGAAGCAGACAATTAGAGAAGCACTTTGCTGAGTTAGGAGTCTTCGAGTTGTTCTTCGGACTTTCAAAGCAGACTCATTAAGTCACGATTATTTTAGAGCGCAGTTGTTAAATAAGTTATTGTATAAAAAAAAATAAGAAGCTCAATAGGATAGTTGCGCAGGATGTTTTCGATAGTCTTCATATCTCCGAGAACAATTTAACGACAGATTAGGTAACCCTAGCCATGTGTTTTCAAAAATAAGGTTTTTTGCCGCTATGCTAAAATACAAGATGTCATAATCGAAGAAAATGTATGCAAACATTTTGCTTTCATGTTTTCTCCTCTTAGTAATATGAAGGTATCCGATAAAACTTCGAAGAGGAGTTTAAGAGATGTGTTTGAGGCCGGTGTTGTGTGTTACGATAAAACTATTCCAAGTAGTTTCCCGATAATTAAAAGAAAGTGCTTGACGTCGATTTTGACGCCATAGTGCCAAAAGAGACAGTCCAGTTTAAGTCTTGAATTTGTTTGTTTTGTGATCAGAAAATTATCCGTAAACCTTATGTGAAGAAGTTTTTGTTACCTGTATATTCAACTAAAGGTTACGAAACTATATGAAATAAAATTGACCATCACTGTTTGTGACATATTTTTTTTTTTTTTTATAGATCGATCGATGTTCTGAAATTATATTGCCCACGGCGAAAAACAACTTTCACATCATTTGTATAGAGGTCATCATATGTTCAGTTTGTCGCTGGTATATCTTTAGCTAACTCTAACCCTAAGCCATTTGTATAGAGGTCATCATATGCTTAGTTTGTCGCTGGTATATCTTTAGCTTGTCTCTGAGTTTTACGGATTTTTTTTCCTCTATTTCCGAGTGATTAACTGCTGTCCTTAAGTTCCTCAAACGTTTTTTATTGGGTTGTTTTCAAAGCTTTTGTATGAGCTTAGAATTTGCTTCAATATCATACCATCTTATTATCGCCCTAAAAAAACGATATGTTTGTTTCACCCATTAAAGAAGTGATAAAAAAGATCTTTTAAGACTTAGGAGTCCCATATCATATTGTAAAACAAAAAAATATAGTCCATGTCTTTGTGTTTGCCAAGGGAATTCACACTCGGTGCTAATTTGAAATTAACCTGAAATGTTATTTACGGAAATCAACAGCTGCTTGCGACAAAGGAACATGTTCTTGTTTAATTAATTTTCATACTTCCTTCGCTGTGCTAAATTATTAAAGAGGACCAGAAAGAAAATTCCCTGGGAAGAACTCGTGTTAAAGGAGGGATTGACGCATCTATTAGCGATTAAACCTTTCGTCTGGTTTTTCAGGGAGCTAGTCTTTGTCTGCAGTTCACATATATGATTTTCAAGTATTCACAGTCATTTATTCATCACTTCACGGGCTATATAATATCGAACTCACAGCTTGTTAGCTCAGTTGGTAGAGCACTGCATCGATATCGCAAAGGTCATTGGTTCAAATCCCGTGTAGGCCTAAATTCTTTTTAGGCCCTTTTTTCGCTACTACTCGAGAAGTGTTCATTACTGTGAAGATTGTTTTCATATTCACGTTTCTTGTTTTGTCGGAGACGAAACGGAGATAAAAGAGCCACAAAATGTTATTAATTACCCAGTTAAATTCAAATATCCTAGATTAAGTTTGCATCTGTGGCCTTACATTAATTTTGAATCGCTATATGCATTTAAATTGCTGGACTGTTTGTCATGGATTTGACACCCTTAGCTTAAACCCTCTTTATTTTCAGCTTGCTGAGGCTGATAATGATTTAGGGCTCAAACTTACACAAATGATATGGACATTTGATTGACACCCTATCAGTGAAACTAGGTCGCATAAACATCGGCCTTCGATGGTTCCAGGTTCCCATTATTAGCACTGCCTGACTACGTTCCTTCGCCCACGAGTCGTGTTGCTTAAGGCCTCAAACGTATTGACGGGCGAAGTACCTCATATTGAAACCTTAATAGTGAGTGCCTTATGGCAGGCTAAGTAAAGCGGGATTGTTTGTTGCAACAGAAAAAATAATCTTAGAGATGTCTTTAAATATTTGCCTCTTATTCCTATTTCACACGTGATGTACATGACAAGTTAGACACAAAAAAGGCTTTTTTGACACAACAGACGATCTTCTAACGTATTTCAAACGAGTAAAGATTAATGAGGAAGTTTTTAGAAAATTCATATAGGAAATAGGGTTTCAGTGATCGTCGTTGTACAATTGCTGTTTTAACGAAATATGTTTCTCATTGCAATCATAAAAGAAAGAAGAAATTAATACAGAATAAAGTCGACCAAGCTTTTTGAAATTTATAATCTACCACCATACAGGGATTATTTCTCCAATTAATCATCATCCAAAATAATTACATTACATCTAAATAGGCTGCTTATTCTGTCTCTCACAAACTGACACAAGAGAGTTTCGTTATTATATCGTCAAACAAAAATTGTGTTTGTTAAGGGAATTAACTTTTAACGCTAATTTGAATTTAAATTAAACTTATTCTACTGCGGGTATTTACATATATGTAGAACGTCAAAAGAAACATAATCCGGCACGTAAACGAGGCCTAATACAAGTCCGAATCTGTCGTAGTAAGCAGGTGTCTTCTTAACAACTTATTCATTCCTCAGTGTGCGATATTAAGCACGAGGCAATGTTAGAGAGTTTGAAATATATGTCAGAGTTGGTTAAGACGAAGCCTCTCCTAGAACAATTGTAAACTTTTCATCAACCGTTGATAAGCTTTGACGACCCATCCCTTCATTTTCCATCTCGATTAATAAATTATTCTGTTTACTTCATAATTGGAAACTAACTGTCATCACCAAAGGAGAATCGTTAATTGCTCAAGAGAATCGCAGGAACAAAAATTGAATAACTTTCCTTTTACAGTTGTAGAAAATGTTTTGCCAAAGGGATAACTTGATCCTGTTACTGTTTTATTGTTAATTCTAGTCGCATACGAAACGGAGAGAAAAAAACCTACAAAGCGCAGGTGGATACACAGTTAATTTCAAATATTTTGAAACGAGTTTGCATAGTTGAATAGTTGTGTTTTCTACGTAGTACATTGGGTGATTGTCACGAATTCAAGTTTTCTCCTAGTACAATTGACATCACCAGAGTGAGCTTTTGCATTTTTAGCTTTCCGTAGCTGATAATGATTCAAGTCTCAACTTCACACGAAAGGAATGGACCCTCGATTTGCATCCCATTATAATGAAATTTAATTCTGATAAAGAGCGACTCTTGCCGCTCTGCAAAAACACTGAAATAACAGATGTTTCTATAATTGCCTTTTATTGCTATTTCATAACAGAGGCACCCAAAGGTTCCCGGGAAAAAAATATTTTTTTGATCCAATCGAAAATTTCCTGATGCATTTTAAATGAGTAAGTCAGCATGCGATTGTTAGTTAGGAAGTAAAGCTACAGTAATCCTTGCTGTCATTTTTCGTTGCAAGAACAGAAACCTATAAGAAAAGGGAAACGCCGAAGACAGAATTATGTCGACAACAAATTTCAGTAGCGGTAGAAGTCACACGAAATTATTTGAAGAACTGCTATGCTCTCCCTCTTTGCTGGGTGAGCATCAACAACAACTATCAATTTGCTTCTTAGCGGTTGACATTCTCCTCTCCATTACAGCATTTGCTGGAAATTCTCTTATCCTTGTGGCACTTCATAAGGAATCTTCCCTGCATCCGCCGTCCAAACTCCTGTATTGTTGTCTGGCAACAACTGATCTGTTAGTTGGTCTTGTTTCCCCGCCTCTCAGTGTTCTATATTGGATGTCCATGGTTCAAGAACACTGGAACCTTTGTCGATACGTATGGGACGCAGCCTACATCACAGGCTATGTATTGTTTTTAGTGTCTTTGATGACGATGACGGCCATAAGCTTGGACAGACTTCTCGCCCTGTTGTTGGGACTGCGATACAAGCAAATTGTAACTTTGAAGCGCACGTATATTATTGTAACTACCTTTTGGGTTTTTAACCTTGTCGCCTCTTTAAGTGAATTTTTTTATCAGGGTATAATCTTTATGTACAGCTCCCTAGTTGCACCATTTTGCCTGGTAATATCATTCGCATCGTACACAAAGATTTTTTACACTCTCAGATATCATCAAGCACAACAATCAGATCAACAACAGCCGAGCCAAACAAATGCACTGAACATGGCGCGATTCAGAAAGGCAGTATACAGTGCACTGTGGGTGCAGTTAGCATTAGTTGTTTGTTATGCACCAATATGTACAGTGAATATTGTGATCGCTCATACCAAAAAATATTCATTTCTCCTAGTCGTCATCTGGAAAGTAGCATTTATTTTACTTTGCTTCAACTCGACGTTAAACCCGTTCCTTTACTGCTGGAAGATTAGTGAAGTGAGAGAGGCAGTGAAGCAGACAATTAAAGAAGCACTTTGCTGAGTTAGGTTTTCCTCGAGTTGTTCCTCAGACTTTGAAAGCAGAATCCCTAAGTCACGATTATTATTTGAGAGAAGTCGTTAAGTACGTTTTTGGATAAAAGTAAATAAGTGGCTCAATAGAATAGTTGCACAGGCTGTTGTCGATAGTCTTTATATCTCTGAGAAAAATTTAACGACAGACTAGGTAACAGTAGCTATGTGTTTTCAAAAATATGGTTTCTTGCCGCTATGCTAAAATACAAGATGTCATAATCGAAGAAAAGATATGCAAACATTTTACTTTCATGTTTTATCCTCTTAGCAATATGAAGGTATCAGATAAAACTTCGAAGAGTAGTTTAAGAGATGTGTTTGAGGCCGATGTTGTGTGTTTCGAGAAAACTATTTCGACTCATTAAACTCGTAATTAAAAGAAAGCGCTTGACGTTGATGTTGACGCCATATTGCCAAAAGAGACAGTCCAGTTTAAGTCTAGAATTTGTTTGTTTTGTGATCAGAAAATTACCCGTAAAGCTTATGTGAAGAAGTTTCTGTTACTTGTATATTTAACTGAAAGTTACGAAAGTATTTGAAATAAAATTGATCATCTCTGTTTGTTATGGAATTTTTTTACAGATCGATCGATGTGCTGAAGTTATATTGGCAACGGCGAAAAACAAGTTTCGTATTATTGTATAGAGGTCACCATAAGTTCAGTTTGTCACTGGTGTATCTTTAGGTTGTCTCTGAGTTTTACGGATTTTATTTCCTCCATTTCCGAGTGATTAACTGCTGTCCCAAAGTTCCTCAAATGTTTTTTTAAATTCGTTTTCAAAGCTTTATTATGAGCTCAGAATTTGCTTCAATACCATACCATCTAATTATCGGCCTAAAAACGACATGTTTATTTCACCCATTAAAGAAGTGATAAAATAGATCTTTTAAGACCTAGGAGTCTCATATCGCATTGTAAAATAAAAAAATATAGCCCATGTCTTTGTGTTTGTCAAGGAAATTCCCTTTCAATGCTAATTTGAATTAAACTGAAACGTTATCTAGTAAAATCAACAGCTGGTTGCGACAAACATCTTTTTGTTTGATTAGTTTTAAAGCTACCGTCGCTGTACTGAAAAGAAAATTCCCTGGGAAAGAACTCTTTCTGAGGAAGGATTGACGCATCTCTTAGCAATTAATTAAGTCATTCATCTAGTTTTTCTTTCAGCTAATCTTTGCATCTTTGGCCTTACATCCTCAAACTTATTCAATTCGCATTGAAGCCATAATATTGAGTGCCTTCTCGCAAGCTAAATAAAGCGGGGTTGTTTGTTGCAACATGAAACAATAATTTCAAAGATGTCTTTGAATAGTTGCCTCTTATTCCTATTTCATACGTGATGTACATGACAAGTTAAGCACAAAAAAAGCTTTTTTGACACAGCGAACAATTTTCTGACGTATTTCAAACGTGTAAACAATAGTGAGAAGGTTTTTATTTGAAATGTTACGTAGGAAAAGGGTTTCAGGGATCGTTCTTGTGCAATTGGAGTTAACTAAAATGAAATATTTTTCTGGATGCTATCACAGATTAACTCATGGCAAGAATATTGTCAACTTTTGAAATATTTGATATATCCAGTTTAATGCTGGTCTGTGTTTTCTTCAAGTTTTATTGATCTTATGTCTCCCAACCCGAGTGATTAATTATTCCTAACTTTCGCTTCTTTTTCCTTGAACTCGTTCCATGACGCTTTTTAGGAATTCAGAATTCACCACAATACAGGGATAATATTTGCACTTAATTACCGGCCCAATAGAATGACAGTATATTTAAATATACCGTTTAAACCGCTTATGCTGTCATTCAAAAACTGACAAAAGAGAATTTCCTTATCATATTGTCAAACAGAAATATTACTGACCGATGTCTGTGTGCTTGCCAAAGGAATTAACATTAAAGGAAGAAAAATTGTAGATCGAAAATGACAAATGTAAAGTTGGAATAAAAATTGGCATCAAAGGAAAAGAAATTTTTTTTTGGTACCCGATGGAACTCTGGGATTAAAACGATACCGAGCGCGTAGTGCCATCATGGCTGATGGTTTCTCCGCCTCCTTTATTTTCAGTTAGCGCCCATTTCTCTTATCTTGTTGACCAAAGGGATGAAGAAAGGAAATTACATCGTGGGGCGAAATAGGCAAAATAGGGAAAACAGTTTTTGTTAAAAAAATCATCATAACTTTCCTGACGAAAGTGAAAAAGCTGGTAGAGAACGAGTTTGAAAAAATCGATGGCGCGCGGCATAACATCGTGTTACGGTTTTGTTTTTAATATCAGTCCGGGGACGAAAAGCGGAAAGAAAAAACCTGTCATTACAAATTGATTCAAACATTTAAAAATACGTTTACATCTGTGACCAAAATTTACATTTAAATTGTTTGATGCATTCGCAGATTGTCTCAAATCGCACTTTTCTAAGACCAAATAAAATCGCGCCAGCTTGAAATTTTAATTTCCAATTTTTCATGGCTACTAATGACACAAGTCTGAACTTCACACGAATAATATGGACACCAGGTTAGCACCCTATCAGTGAAAGTTGATCTAGATAAAAGGAGATTGTTCGTCGTTCTTTTAAAAGAATGATACCACAGATGTCTCTCCATTTTCTACTTATTTCCATTTCATACCTGAGGCACTTCAAAGGTTCAATTTTTGGACACAACAGACAATTTTCTGACGTATTTTAAACGAGTAAACACTGATGAAGAATTCTCAGTGTGTATAAATATCATTAATTGAAGTATGAGGTGTAATTGATCGTGGCTGGATGTGGGCTGTTTAGACGACATATTACTCGTTGCAATCTTAGATAACCTACAACAAATTTCAGAAGAGTTGGAACACAGACGAAAACAATTGAAGAACTGCTATGCTCTCCTCTTTGTTGGTTGGGCTTCAACCAGAATCAGTTTCATACCTGAGGCATCCCACAGCTGCAAATTTCTGACGCATTTTAAATGATTAAACGCGAGGGAGGAAGTCTATATGAAAGGTTTCAGTTATCATAGTTCGGCGTGTCCTGTTTAGACGAAATATTTCTCGTTGCAAGAACAGAGGAAACGAATGCAGAATTATTCGACAACAAATTTCACCAGAGGTGGAACAAAGACAAAAACTTTCAAGAACTGCAATGCTCCCCCTCTTTGATAGGTGGGCTTCAATCAGCATTAGGTTTTTTCGCAGCAGTCAACATTTTCCTGGCCATCACAGCATTTCTTGGTAATTCTCTCATCCTTGTTGCCCTTCACAAGGAATCTTCCCTTCATCCGCCGTCCAAACTCTTGTATCGCTGTCTGGCAACAACTGACCTGTTGGTTGGTCTTGTTGCTCAGCCTCTCCGTGTTACTTATTTGATATCCGCGGTTCACGAACACTGGAGCCTTTGTCATTACGCAAGAGAAGCAAGTTACATTACAGGCGTAGCATTATGTGGAGTTTCTTTGCTGACGATGGCGGTAATAAGCGTGGACAGGCTTCTTGCCCTGTTGTTGGGGCTGAGATACAAAGAGATTGTAACTTTGAAGCGTATTTATATCACTATAGTTAGCTTTTGGGTTTTATGTCTTGTCGCCTCTTTATGCATCATTTTCGATCAGCGTATAACCAATTTGTGTGTCTTGATATCGATACCACTTTCGCTGCTTATTTCACTCGCCTCGTACACAAAGATTTTTCGCACTCTTAGACATCATCAGGCACAAGTTCAACAACAGCCGAGCCAACCAAATGCACTGAACATGGCGCGATACAGAAAAGCAGTGCACAGTGCACTGTGGGTACAGTCAGTATTAGTTATTTGTTATACACCATACCTTATTGCGGTATTTGTAATCACTTCTAGTACAACATATTCATCAAACTCAGTCGTCGCATGGGAAATGGCAGGTGTCCTTGTTTACTTTAACTCGACGTTAAACCCGTTTCTTTACTGCTGGAAGATTAGTGAGGTGAGACGAGCAATGAAGCAGACAATCAGACAAGCACTTTGCTGTCCATGGAGTTAGACCATCCTCGAGTTATATATGATCGTATAAGTACTTTCAGTGCAAAGCTGACCGATAGAGAACGCTTGTCGCTTAAATTTTTGCTCGAGGTCTGTCGATAGTATTTTTTGCTAGTCACGTAAAACAAAATTAAGGAAAGGTAATGGAAACACAAACCAAAACTTTTAAAAAAATATTTTTCATGCTACTAAACTTTTTTTTGAATGCATAAATTATTAATCCAAGGAAAGATATACGTGCACAAGAGGATATATAATGTCTTATAATCTCTTGACTTAAATTATACTCTCATGAATGTTATTATAAGAAAGCGAAAGAAATAAAATTAACTATAACATTTTTTATTAAAGACTACGCGGGATGCGGTTTCAGAGGGTTGCTGCTCCAGTGCCGATCGATCCTTCATTAAATTAAACATTTACACGGATTATCATGAATGTTTTGAATTAATTAACGATATATTTTACAAAGTACAAGTTAACGAGCTTTAAATAGCCTATACTGAGTTAATAATATTCTAAATTTGTTCAGTTTCTCGTGAAATAATGGCTCTACCTTCCCGAACGCACGTGACATAGAAAATTGAAACAGGGCTCTTGTTTCGCATTCTTGGAGTTCCGGTAATTCGAGTTTTTATTGAACGAATCGGTTGACAATGCTGCACATGTGATGAAAGTTTTTGAAGAAATCTGCCGCAAAATTTTCCTCTGAACAGTTCAGTCGACCAAAACGACACAGTGCAGAGGTAGGTAACGAATGATATTGTCTATTGAAACTAAAGCTCGTTTTAAAGCTGCGGTTTTTCTAAGTGAGCGAGACGCTGAGCGTTTAGTCCGATTTAAAGACTGCATTGAGCGAACATCAACAGATGTTTCAAAACCGTTTGCTTCAAAAAACTGAAAATCTAAAATGAGTCCGCAGTGAAGACCGTCAAACGAATTAATCCTTTGTAAACAATATCAGAGCATTGGATAAAACTTAAAAAGTGGTTTAAGAGTGGTCGTCTGTGAAAATCGAGAAAAGGTGTTGAAAATGAAAAAATTAACATTTTTTCAAACTTTGCCAGAACATAGGTATAAATGGCCTTAGTTATGGAAAAATATAAAAAATGC